GGGGAAATTACGTGGTAGAGGTCAGGATGCAGTGACATTCGGGGAAGGAATGTGAGTCTGCTTGCTCTGGACAGTAGTCAGACGTCCTGGTTCTCTAGTGCTGCTATAACAGAAACACCCCAAGTGGATGGCTTTGGCAACAGAAGTGTATTTTCTCACAATTTAGGAAGTTAGACATCTGAATTCAGGGGTCCAGCTCTAAGGACCAGGGTCCAGCTCTATCTGTCAGCTTTGGGGGAAGGTCTTTGCCACGTTCAACTTTTGTGGATCCAGTGCCACTTAGAGCTCTACAGACATCTTGTCTAGGAGGTTCTCAGCAGAGAGATCCTGGGTCCAAAGAATGTACTGCATTCCCAGCTTTTCTTTCATGGTGGTTCTGAGGTCTTGCGCTCTCTCTTCTTGCTTCTCCTTTTATGTCTTATAAGATAAAAAGTGGTGTGGGCCATACACCCCAGGGAAACTGTTCATATCAGAACTCTGACCTAAGTAAGGGTGTTATGTCCTATCCTAATCCTGCTTCAGTAACATAAAAACATATCTCAGTCATTAATAAAATGTAATCTGGCCTCATTAGCCACAGGTAGAAATCAGAGTTTACAGCATATCACAAAAATGGAGGATAATCATATCAGATCACTTCATGGAGTATAAATGCATCATTACATAATAGTCAAACACAGAGAATCATGGCTTAGACAAGTCACCACATCTCTTGAGGGCACACAATTCATCGTGACGTCAAACAACTGTGTCGCCTTTAGGATAATTCAACAAACCATTGTTTTTATGATCTTAGACCTGTCTATGTATATACTCTAATTTTTAAAGTTAATTTAAAATATTTTTTTTAAATCCCATTTTTCTGCACCCTCCTTGAAATCATCTCCAGACAACCATAGTTCAGAGGTTGGGTGTTCCCAGACTTTCGACTCACTCAGTTGTAGGGGTTTTCTTCCTCCCCCCAAATGGCAATCCACAAGCGCTAGCGTTAGATTTCACTAATGTATACCTCAAGAGGAATCTTATTTCCAAGCTTCTGGAAGAGCTTTCCTTGGGCTGTGTGGACACTAAGATGAATTGGGGAGGATAAGGATTCTGACACTTATCAGTAGAGTTTATGATGAATCTTAATTTTGTGCTCAATTTAGACCCTTTGTTTTTAGGATTTTTTCTGATGGAGCATGATTCAAGTGTAAACTAAAATGGAGGAATTACATTGGTGATTTTTATTTTTGTTTTTGTAGTTGAACGCATTACAAGACCTTCATCCATTGCCCAAGATCATTTTGGAATATAGGCAGGTACGTTGGACGATTTTTATAAACAAGAAGTGATGAAGAGGATCCACGTGAGACCACCTCTGTCCAGGACAAATCCTATCTTAGCCGAAGCAGCCTGACGATGCTCTAAGGTGCAAATAGGATTTGGGACAGCTGCAGATGACCCTGGGGGCTGCTTTCGGTAATGGGATTAGTCTCTTTGTTTCAAGTTGACCGGCTCTAACCCCACTTATTGACTCTCTCATATGATTTTCCTCAAGTCAACACCCAGTCCTGCTCGGCACTGTGAACCCAGCGGAGGTGAAAGAGAAGGCGCCCTGGTTGTGCAGTGGTTAAGCACTCTGCTGCTAACCGAAAGGCAATCTGCTGCAAAGATTGTTTGTGTGCCATTGAGTGCCATGCCAATGTGATGAGTGCCATGCCAATGCTTAGTGAAAAGCTGAGCTGCTAACTGGAACGTCTGTGGTTCAAACTCACCAGCTGCTCTGCAGGAGGAGGAAGTGGGAGCCTGTTCCCATGACAGACAGTCTTGGAAACCCATGGGGCAGTTCTCCCCTCTCTTGATAGGGTCAGAATCGACTCGGCAGCAGCGGGGTGATAACTACAGTTCACTATTTTATTGTGGTAAATTACACATCCCGTAAAGGTCGCCATCTGAACCTGTCCAATTCCCTGGCAGCACTGGTGAGCATTTCGAGGCACTGTGAAACTGCTTCCCAAAATGGCCACACGATTTTACATTCCAACCAGCAACACATATGGGGGGAGGGGATGCCATTTCCCCCACAAACTCCTCACTTGTTAGCGGGCTTTTTCATCCCAGCCATCCTAGTGGGCGTGGAGTGCGTCTTGTTGAGGGTTGGAGGGCATCCCCAATGACCGTGGGTGGCCAGCACCTTTTCCTGTGTTCTTCATTTGCTCCTTTGCCGGGGTCTCTGGTCCCTCCAGGACACCTTCTGACCTTGAATACAAGTCCACCACAAAGTGTTTGCTCACCCCAGCTTACTCTGGGTCTTCCTCCCCAATAGGTCATTTCTTCTCAGTTTGACTTCTCCTTCAGTTAAGAGATAATGTAGACTTCTTTTTCAAGCACGTAATAGATTAAGTGACTGCTCTGCACGCTCCAGAGGGAGAGGGAGTCTTGAAAGATGGCTACTGTTTAGACAAGGATGACTATTTGTTTATTTGGCTAACTCTTGAGATTTTTTTGCCTTCTGGATGCTGTAATCATTGTACTCTTAACCGTAGAGTACCTAAAGCAAATGGAAGAAAACATGAAGTCAGAGGGCTGAATAGAACATTTCAAAGGACACCTCGAGAAGATAAAGCCAAATAGTATACTGAAACGTGCAAAGACCTAGAATTAGAAAGCCCAAAGGGAAGAACATGCTCAGTAGATCTGAAACTGAAAGAACTCAAGAAAAAAACAGCTCCACAACCAAATGGGCCTAGGAGGCAGTTGTGTAATGAAGGGTAGATTAAAGAAACGTCAGGAAGACCAGAACCAGAGTGGGTGAATGTATTCTCTCACAGGCTTATTAACTCAGGCATGCAAGCCACATGATACACATACATAATAAGAAGGGGCTGTAATAGAGGCATACACGTAACAGGAAGGTACATACACAACAAGATGAGTGGGTTCTACAGTTAAGATAATGGCCTATCCGTGGTCATCTCTGAGCTGGCTTGACCTTGACCTTAAGTGTCCCTGAGCTTTCTCCAGGGGAGCAATCTATGATCCTTATCAGAAGAGAGTGGGCCCTACTTAGGGGGGCGGGGCATGGTCTGATTGCTCTTGGCAGACAACCTTCAGGCAGATAACCTTCCAGAAATTAACCTTCAAGAGTATAGTAGCAACCATGTGCTCACAAGCAACATCTTAAAATCGGTATCATTACGGGGGACATTGTAGGGAATAACTTACTTAGGAGAATGTGACTGGGATGCATTACGAACATGGAAGCTTCCTCCACCAGATCTGCCTCCCAGACTCCTTCACTATGAGCCTAGAGAATTTGTCTGCGTACATTCTCTTCCTGATTCTCTGTTTCCCACACCTCACATTGAAATATTGAAAGATTCTATGGCCAAACATTGAGTGATGCAGGAAGCATCAAGGGAAGATGGAAAGAATACAGAGTCATTGTACAAAAAGAACTAAGTTGATATTCCACCATTTCAGGAGGGAGCAGATGAGCAAGAACCAGTGGTGCTGAAGGAAGAAGTTCAAGCTGCTCTGAAAGCATTAGCCCAAAAAACAAAGTTCCAGGAATTGAATAACTACCAGTTGAAATGTTTCAACAAGTGGATAAAGCCCTGGAAGCACTTACTCATCTACGCTAGGAAATATGGAAGACAGCTACTTGACCATCTGACTGGAAAAGATCCATATTTGTGCCCCTTCCAAAGAAAGGTGACCCAATAGAATGCTTAAATTATAAACAATATCACTAACACACATGCAAGTAAAATTTTGCTAGCGATCATCTAGCAATATTTGCAGCAGTACATTGACGGAGCTGCCAAAGGTTTAGGCCGAATTCAGAAGACTGCGTGGAACAAAGATATCATTGCTGCTGTCAGATGGATCTTGGCTGAAAGCAAGAATATCAGAAAGATGTTGACTTGTGTTCTATTGACTATGCCAAGGGATTTGTTGGTGTGTGTCATAACAAACTTTGGATAGCCTTCAGAAGAATGGGATTTCCAGAACACATCATGTCATTGTGCTCATGCGCAACCTGTACATGAATCAAGAGGCCATTGTGTGGACAAAACAAGGGAAAACTGCATGGTTTACAATCAGGAAAGGTGTGTGACAGGGCTGTATCTTTTCACCATACTTATTCAATCTGTATGCTGAGCAAATAATAACAGAAACTGGGCTATATGAAGAAGAATGTACCATCAGGATTGGAGGGAGGCTTATTAACAACCTGCAATATACAGATACCATGACCTTGCTTGCTGAGAGGAGAACTTGAAGCACTTGCTAATGAAGACAGGATTGCAGCCTTCAGGATGGAGTATGACTCAATGTAAAGAAGACCACAATCCTCACCACTGGAACAATATGTAACATTATGGTAAATGGAGAAAAGATTGAAGTTGTCAAGGATTTTGTCTTGCTGAGATCCACAGTGAATGCTCATGGACTCAGCAGTCAAGAGATCAAAAGACGAGTTGCATTGGATACATTTGCTACCCATCTGGCATGAATATTGACTAGTGTTTCATTGATAAATTCCCTTCTCCTCCTCTAGCCACTCATGTTTTCCCCATCACATATTTATCATTGACGTCAGGAGTTCTCTGGGGTTCCTGGACTGCATTGACAGTTTTTACCACCACCCATGCTGTTGGTGCTACTATTTACTGAGACCTCAGCCTTTGATCCATATTGTCGGCAGTTGTACATAGGGTTGGTATGGGTCTTATCACTTGATAGCACATAACACCAACAACAGAGCGACCTGCCCTTCTCTGAAGCACGCCCACACTGCTCTGAAGTATGGGTCTACACCGCTCAGAGGATTATTCCAACTTAAGCACTTAATAAAAAGAAAATTACTTCTCTTGCTTTTGTTCCTTTAGGTTCACAAGATCAAGTCAACCTTTGTAGACGGATTGCTAGCCTGCATGAAAAAGGCAAGTGAAGCACCAATAAAATCGACCTGTGATGAGTAAGAAGGGTTATACATGGATTCAGATACATGTATGATTTTTAAATGTTTCAGTAAACACTGTGATCAGCTACTATTCTTAAAACTAGAAACCCTGCTTTTGTCATCTACCGATCCTCTGTATAGCATGACCTTGACATTGTAACCCTTGGGTTTCCCTGGAAGCTACACAGCTGCTTGTGCCCTTGCCCAACTATATGTGTATCTCTTCTTCTGGATTCCTTTGCAGGAGCCAAAACTCATGTTACTGCTTTATGTCTTATTGCTGCTCGGTGACTTTTTGGAACCACACAGTAAGGGACAAAACCTGCCCTTGGACTCCCGTCTCACAGCCCAGGCATTCCTACTGCATCCCCTCAATCATGTCCCTCCCCATGCACAGCAACACAAAGTCCCCATCACAGTCTCCACACGGGCGAAATATCTATCCTTCTTCCCTGTCCCAGATCACACCTCAGAGTTTGGTAACTCCAAAGTCAATGCAGGGTTGGGTGTTTAAGACCAGCCACTCTTGGCCTGCTGGAGGAGGGATGTAAGTGTTGTACAGTGAGGATGAAGAAACAAAAAGAGCCCAACATGCTCTTGATTTAGCCAGGAATTCAAAGCACGTTTTTCCCAGTTCAGTCCGGGCTGGGGAAGCGAAACCAGAAGGTGCCTGCATGTATTCAATGTGGGTGAGCCAGAATGATAACCAGAACAGGAAAGATACAATGAGTGCCCTGCTAGATACTTAACCACCGTCTTGGGAAACAAGGGCAATGTATGCATTGCATAGCAACCAAATCTTTTGACAAGCAGAGTGGGAAATGATGGTGCCCCGCTCAAAGATGGTAGTTCCCTGTGCCACTTTGAATCTGTCTCACTATCCACAGTCCTGACAACAATCCAGTCTCCCAGGCCAGGTGCCTGGAAGGCCATCCACTATAATTTTCCCCTTTCTGATTATCATTCCACTTCACCCAATTTCTTTTAGTCCGTTCCAATTCAGCTTTATTGATGGAGCCAGTTTCAAGGCCTGGGTGTAGCATGGTGTTGCTCAGAGTTTAACATGCCTCTTCTTAACTACTAAAGGGCTTCATTTCCTCGACGTGGAACCAAACTGGAACTGTGACTGGAAGACTTTCAGCCAACCATCCTGTAAGTGAGCTGATTTTTGTTGAATTCCAGCTTCTTTGTCTTACAGCTGAAGTGTTATCTAGATATGTGTTTCCTTGGGTATTTAGAACATGAAGCTTGCCATTTATAAGACGGGGGCCCACACTGAAGTCCTGTGTTTTAGGCTCTTGCTTCAGTCTGTCAACATGTATGTCTGTGACTAGGAACATAGTGAGGGAAGAAGACCTAGGATGCATGGGAGTAAGTAGGAGTGGGGAGTCTTCATGTCCAAGAAAAAGTACACCCCAGTGCCGAGGGGAACAGGAACCCTTGCCCACTGGCTACTCTGTGGTCTCAGGTTCTGCTTCTGGAATCCATAAATGTGTCTCCCATCTCTGCTACCCCACTGCTGCCACCAACCGTGTGTGTGTGTGTGTGTGTGTGTGTGTGTGTGTGTGTGTGTGTGAAAGGCTATTGCTGATGGAAAAAACTATACATGTCCTGCTTTTACAATGCAGCTTCACAGCACTGAGAGGATTGAACTACTGTCTAATGGTCATCTATTTTTGAACTAAAGAAGACTATTTTCTCATTTCAAAGGAACAGCTTCCTGTAGTATAGAACAGAGATGTAAAGAAACAAATCAGGGTCACCTGTTCCACCAAGGCAACCTGGTGGTGAGCAGGAGGGGGAGGGCGAGCAGTTTTTCTATACAGATTATAACCTTGGACACCCTAGAAGACAGTTCTTCTCTGTTGGAATCAACTTGACAGTAACAGGTTGGGGTACGGGCTTGGTTGTTCCATCCTGCAGAACTAATTTGTGACTAATATTTGATGTTTATCCTTCCACAAGAGAAGCCCTGGTGGGTAATATGTTGGGCTGCTAACCACAAGGTCAGAAGTTTGAAACCACCAGCAGCTCCTTGGGGAAAAGATCAGATTTTCTACTCCTGTAGAGTTAGTCTTGGAAAGCCACAGGGGAAGTTCCACCCTTTCCTAGACAGTGCCTATGAGTCAGAATTGACTCAGTGGCAGTGAGTGAAGAACAGCCAGAATGCTTGCTAAGAAGAGAGGATGGTGAAACGGCCTTTCATGTACTTTGCACATGTTATTAGGAGGAGCCAGTCCCTGTAGAGGATCAGCAAATGAAGAGGAAGACCCTCGAGGAGGTGGGTCGACACCGTGGCTGCAACGATCAGCTCAAACATGAGTAATCGTGGGGATGGCGCAGGACTGGGCAGTTTTGTTCTGTTGGGCATAGGGTCACTATGAATTGGAAACAACTCGATGGCACCTACCCACAACATGCTTCCATTTGTTCCAAGACTGTTCACCCTACTTACCAAATCAGCTACATACTAATACATCTTTAACAACAATTGTGAGATATGACCAGGATCTATATCGTTGCAGCATTAGCTTCTGGTGATTGTGTTACGAGAGTCTGGATCATGTTTAAACCCTATTGAAGTAAAAATAAAACAAATTCACTGCCATTGAGTTCATTCCAAATCATAGCAACTCTTTGGACAGAATAGAGCTGCCCCTGTGAGTTTCTGAGACTGACAATCCAAGAACAGACTGCCTCATCTTTCTCCCAAGGAGCAGTAGGTGGACTCAAACTGCTTATTTTGCAGTTGGCAGCCCAATGCACAAGCCCCCATGCTACCAGGGCTCCTTCATATTTTTATTTTGATTAGAATTCAATTTATTTAAGTTTTGGCTACAAATTCTGACAGCTTCCATGGACTCTGGGTCTAATGTTATGTTCTGTTTTCAAAGTTGTTGTAATGCTACTCAGATATTCCCACATGATTGCCACCCAGTGATGAGTTTGGGAATCGAACAATGGTCTACTTGTTAGATCAGTTCTCAAGCCCTTTGTAAACTGTTAACTTCAACAGCCTGATGTGGAGTTCATTGGTTTGAAAACAATTTTGTGGCGTTCCTTTTTCAAGTGTTCTGCCTTCTCTGCGGTTGGCCTGATCATTTCTAGTTCTTTGGCATTCCTTTCTCCAATCTTCAGGCAAGAAATCTGAGTCTAGTTAACCCAGTAGGCCACATACTTCCCTCCACAGTTCCCATGCCTCAGGCCAAGAAGCAGGAGGACCAGGGGGAAATACTGCCTATTTGGTGGTGGCGGTTGTTAGGTGCCATTGAGTCGGCCCTGACCCATAGCAACCCTACGCACAACAGAACGAACCTCTGCCGGTTGTGCGCCAGTCTCACCATTGTTCCTGTGCCTGAGCCCATGGATGCAACCACGGTGTCAGTCCATCTCCTTGAAGGTCTTTTTCACCGCCCCTCCGTTTTACCAACATGATGACCTTCTCCAGGGCCTGGTCTCTCCTGACAACATGTCCAAAGTATGTGAGGCAAAATCTTGCCCTCCTTGCCACTAAAACAATTTGGTAGAATTTCAAATTCTGGTCTGTTTCTCCACTCTACCTGTGACTATTAATTCCCTGAGCCTTTATTTAATGGCTCCTCTCGGTTCTTGTTGTTAGGGGCCATAGAGTGGGTTCCAACTCGTAGAACGAAACCCCAGCTGGACCTGTGCCATCTCAGTTGTTCATATGTTTGAGCCCATTCTTACACCCACTGTCCCAATGCCCTGTCCAGGGCCTTCCTCTTTTTATCTCCCCCTCTGCTTTACCAAGCATGGTGTCCTTCTCCAGGGACTGATCTCAGTCCTGACAACACGTCCAAAGTACTTGAGACCAAGTCTCGCCATCCTTTCCTCTAAGGAGTATTCTGGTCCTTTTGGCATTGCATGGTACTATTAATATTTATCTTGCAAAATTCAGTCATGCGGTCTACAGCTTCATTTTGTCACCAAGACCATATTTTCCAACTACTGTTCCTTCCTCTTTGTTTCCAACTTTTGCATTCCAACCACCAATAACCATCAATGCATCTTGAATGTATGTTTGATCAATTTCAGACCACAGACATTGGCAGAATTCTTCAATTTCTTCATCAATAGCTTTGGTGGTTGGTGCATAAATTTGAATATGTAATGTAAAGTCTCTCTATCCTTGACTCTAAAGCTGTACTTTTTCCAAGACAGGTTTGTTTGTTTTGTGGCAAACCATGGCATTTCTAATATTCTTCTCTACGACCACAATTTGAATACATCAATTCTTCTTTGGTCCTTCTTTTTCAATGTCCAACTGTCACATGCAGATGAAGCAGTTGTAAATACCATGGCTTGGGTCAGGTGCACCCCAGGTACAACAGAAAGAAATGTTACCCAGTGCTCCCGATTGTCATATTTGAGACCATCTTTGCAGCTGCTGTGTCACTCTATCTCATCTGGGTCTCTCTCTCTCACTGGCCGTCGTCCAGCAGGATGTCCCTTCCAGATGCAGGGCTCTCCTGATAACATGTCCAAAGTAGGTGAGGCAACGTTTTACACCCTCAATTCCTTCTAAAAAAATCATTTTATTGGGGGCCCATATAGCTGTTATCACAATCCATACATCCATCCATTGTGTTGAACGCATTTGTACATATGTTGCCATCATCATTTTCTAAACATTTTCTTTCCACTTGAGCCCTTGGTATCAGCTCCTCATTTTTCCCTCCCTCCCCCAGCCCTCCCTCCTTTATGAGCCCTTAATAAGTTATAAATTTTTTCCCACGTCTTACACTGACCAATGTCTCCCATCACCCACTTTTCTGTTATCCGTCCCCCTGGGAAAGGGTTATATGTAGATCATGGTGATCGGATCTCCCTTTGTCGCCCAGCTTCCCCTTCCCCTCCTCTCATTATTGGTCCTGAGGGGTTTATCTGTCCTAGATTCCCTGTGTTTCCAGCTCTGATCTGTTCCCGTGTACATCTCTGGTCTAGCCGGCTTTGTAAGGTAGAATTGGGGTCATGATAGTGGGGCGAGGAAGCATTAAAGAACTAGTGGAAAGTTGTAGGTTTCATCAGTGCTATCCTGCACCCTGACTGGCTCCTCTCCTCCTCCATTCTAAGGAGCATTCTGGTTATACTTTTTACAAGACAGCTTTGTTTGTCTTTTTGGCTGTCTGTGGGACTTTCAGTATTCTTTGCCAACACCATGATTCACTGCATAACTTCCTTGGTCTACCATGATTTGGGTCAGGTGAACCAAAGTATAGGCACATACATAATTGGGCATCGGGTTTCCTTGTCTAACTTTACTACCATTATCAACATCAACAGCCCCAGACTGACTGTTAGGAGGTGGAGGTCACATACCTTTTATATCCAAGCTTTTTTTAATTTTTATTACCAATTCTGACATTAGGCAGATCATCCTATGGTACTTTCTACTTCCCTGCTGGGTTCAGTTTTTAAAATTCTTTTCAGCAAAATTACTTGCATGCAATATTGATGATATTGTTCAATAGTTTCTGTACTCTGTTGGGTCACCATTCTTTGGAATGAGTACCAATATGGATCTCTTCCAGTCATTGGCGAGGTAGCTGCCTTCCCAATGTCTTGGCTTATGCAAGTAAGTGTTCCCAGCCCTGAGCCAGTGAATTGAGACCTTTCTGTTGTTTCTCACCGTTGCATTCAGTAGAACTCGGACTCCTTCCTGCAACACCATTGGTGCTTGATCATATGCTACTTCTTGAAATGTTTGTTAGCAATATTTTTTTGTACATTAACTATGTATTTTTTCAACCGTCTTCTGATGCTTCCTGCATTGTTCAGAAATAAGCCCCGGTGGCATAGTGCTTTATCCATTGGGTTTATGCACAAGGTCAGCAGTTTGAATCCATTAGCTGCACCGAGGGTGGAAGATATTGTTTTCTACTCCTATAAAGAGGGTGGAAGATATTGTTTTCTACTCCTATAAAGAGTTGAAGTCTTGGAATGCCACAGGGCAGTTCTACCCTCTCCTATAGTGTCATTATGGGTCAGAATCATAATTGGCTTGATGGCACTGGGTTTTTTTTACTGCATCATTCAGTATTTTCCCCCACAATCTTTCCATATTGCATCATGAGGCTTGAATTTTTTCCCTTCGGATTTTTCAGCTTGAGAAATGCTGAATATGCTGTTCC